CGGAGCTGAACGCAGTGTTCCAGGTGGGGTCTCACGAGAGCAGAGTAGAGGGGGAGAATCATCTCCCTCGAAGGTGTTCGTGTGCTGGGTGGAATAAGCAATTCATGGCTGATCTAACAGAGCCAGAGTTCACTGCGGCCTCATCCCTTCTTGGGCTCTGCTAAGGTGCAACACTGATTGATGGATTTTTCCCTTCACTGCTGGTGTCCAGCTGGATGCTCTGCTACCAAATATGGAGAGAGTTTGAGGTGCTTCTTTAAGAAGCCAGGTGAAATAATGTATTAAAAATTCTGTTTTATCCTTCCAAGCTTGAATGCAGGATCCATGAAGGGAAGGAAACATCCAGTGTCTGGATCATTTCTGATACTCCCTGTCATTATCATGCCTGCCTAGAGAACAACATCAACGTTGTAGCCTCCTCTTTCATTATATTATGCAGGAATCCACCACTGGTTTGAGGTTAAGTGATGGATCTTCAGAAGGACAGACTCAAGACCAGAGAAGAGTTTTGTGTCTAGATCACAGGGCAGGGACTGAGGTGATCAGACACCTCTTCTGGCTCTGCCTGCTCTCCATACGTGACTGTGGCCAAGTCTCTTCACCTCTCTGTGCCCAAGATCTTTATCTATAGGAGGGCAATAGTTATCTCCTGATACCTGTTTAGGTCCTGTGATTTCAGATTAGGACTATGCACAGTGGAGGACCTTCAGACCTGCTATCGTGCGAGGAAATCCCAGAATAAAGAGAACAAAGCATCTCTCAACACCAAGATTCAACAGATTTTCAAGCCATCCCAACTAGACTGTGCTAATCGTTACTGTAATGGAGAGAAGTTTGCCAGAGGTGTCCAAGCACTGCAGTCAAAACGAGAAGGGCCTCCGTCTTCCTTTGCTGGCTCCATAGCAAAGCCTCTGTGTTCGTCCCAGAATAGCAATGTGCAAACCTCGGTGCTTCTCTTCCAAACCAATTTGCATTTTTAGAAACTAATTTGCAAAGCCTCGGACCCTGTGGCTACAGGCAAAGCCTGGCTGTCTGAGCAGCACTCCTCAATTACGGCATCTCCAGGGCTGCAGCATGTCTCAAAATGATGCTGTAAGCTTTGACTTGGGGGTGAATTTTCACTTGGGAGAAGAAAGTCCTGCCAGGAGACTCTCAGGGTCCTACAAGCCAAGAGAGGAGGGGTTGGGATGGGATCGGGATGGGATCAGGGTAACCACAGGTCTCTGGGGGGAGCTCCTGGCACATGGCAGAGCCTGGGACCTCCTTTTCCAGTGCACCTTGACCCGTGCCCTCACCAGTGCTCCAGCAATAACGTTATTTGCCCCGTGCCCTCACCAGTGCTCCAGCAATAATGTTATTTACCCTGTACCCTCACCGGTGCTCCAGCAATAACGTTATTGCACAACACTCAGCTGCTCTCACCAACAATCACTGTGAACAATTCAGCTGGAGCCACAGGAGGTTACTCAACCCTGCTGAGATATTCTCCTGATTTTCTACATCCATAAGCCACGCAGACTCCAGCATGATAGTACTTTTTAGGTATCAAAAGTCACAGCCTTCCTTTGGTAGGCATAAAGATGAAGTCCCATCACCGTGAGCCCCAGAGCACCTACCATCCAGCTGACGCTTCTTGGGATGCTGAGCTGTGGGTCACAGCTGCCAGGAGGACACCCAGATGGTGGGGAAGTGGCTGCACACCCACCTTCAACCTGTTCCCCTTTTGTTCACAGCTCGGAGTGCATAAGAAGGGGATTAAATTGATACACCTTATCTCAGACCTTCCAGGGATTTCTGTGCCAGCCGCCACGAGCAAAGCGCTCGCTCTGAAATAAAGTCACATTTGCAAAGAATCCGTTCCACGGTCAGAGGAACTTACAAAGCAGATGTGTTTGTCGTACTTTTAAGCAAAGCTAAGCACTGGCTATCTGACACTAGACCACCATTCCAGTTCTTCTCTGCTCCATGAGCAAGGGAGTTTCTGATACGGATTAGCCAGCAAGAACCCAAATTGGCATGTCTATGGCACACAGCACCCAGCAAACGGGCAGGACCGGCCGTCACGCTGATTCCAGAGTGCAGGATTAAACCGCGCGACTGCCGTAACAAATGCACAAAACCAGAAATGCCACATGGAATTCCTGGGTCTCTCCGCACCGGTGCTTAACTCGCAGCTTCCCAAAAGCCACCCCTTTGCCCCTGGCCAGGGCAGTGAAGGGAGCTCTGATTATCACCAGCTAAACCCAGCACAAATCAAAGTGGTGGGAAAAACCCAGCCAGAATCTGGAAAGGGACCTGATTCTGCCTTCACTGACAATTCTGCTGCCTTTTCCTATTTTTAAACAATTCATCAGATTCAGAACTTTACCAAACGCCTCTCTGATGGCAGGAAGTCATACAGCAGTGCCACGTGGGACAGAGGGATGTACACACTTTGGGAGGGAAACCCTCAGCCCCCGCACTCGCTGTTAAATGCAAAAGTTCAGACGTGCTCCGCTGAGTAAATTGCTGAATGCATCCACCAATGTTCTGTTACATACATCACTTTCTCTGTCAGCTGGTTTATAGCCACAGTTTAGACACTTATAAAATTTACAAAATTGAAATATTTTGATTTAAAAAAGAAAAAAAGTGGGGTTTTTTTTCCCCCTACAGTTTCTGAGCAGAACAGCCCAGCGCCAGAGCAGAAAAACCAAAGTCAGACCTCCCAAAGGCCACGCACACATGAGGACAACCTCTCCCCTCGCAGCACCCACGGAAAAGCAGGTGCCTCTGCCTCCGCAGGGCTGAAGCTTTGATTCCACCATTTAAAAGCAACGCAAAACTGAGCACCAAAATAAACAGATCCGTGAAG